TGGGATATATACTTAGAGACTCAGTCAGTTGTGGAAAGAGAACTGAAAGGACCTTCTACTTGTTAACGTGAGACTTCCGAAAATATGTCTTGCCCTGACGGCGGCTGTTGCCGCAGAAGTTCTTCATGCGATTCGTATTACATATCGCTTTATCATCGCCGTGGCCCCTTCTTCTTCAATGTCCCGATGCACACGTTGTAGCTACGGACTCCCTTAATCCAACCCTGCTGCGGCAGGTGCTATGCCTTTCGCGCTTGAGCTCTTCGCACCACTACCCCCTCCACCAAAACCGCCTCCTCCAAACATGCCTCCCAGCATATCCAGCATAGGGTTTCCTTGTCGCGGTATCTTGATACCAAAGTACATTTCGCCCAGCGTATCTAGTGCCTCAGTCCATGTCACCTCTTTCAGATCCGTCGCATAGTGGCTCTTCAGCTGCCGGAACAGACTCGGGTCACCCCTCTCAACACTCCGTAACAGCAATCCGATGAAGTTGAGCAGCGGTAGGGTTGGGTATATGCGGAGGTCGGATGAAGATGTGGATATTTGTTGTGTGTTGAGGCCGGGCTTCTTGGAGAGGAAGGAGGTGAAGAGGAGGAAGAACTTGTTGGCTGCGCGCAGGTTACCGGTGAGGAGGTAGGGTAGTACGCCGCGTGCGCAGTATAGAGGTGCGGTGTGCGAGTCGTCGGCTTCGTACCAGGAATATTCGAGAGATGCGAGGGCGGAGGGCGAGTCTTGGTTGCCGAGTACGAGATGGCGTTCGGCTTCGTACGGTTCGAGAGCTGTGTTACTGTCAACATACGCATCGACATGCACGTGGTGGCCAACATACCCTCGGCATGCAAGGTGCCAGCGACATGGTGAATTTCGGGGTCACCAGCAGGATACTCCCCAAACTTTGCGCTCCAGCCTATCATCTCGCCCACAAACTTCTTCTTGGTCGGCTCATCCTTGGGGAACGCCCTCAGCAAGCTCAGCAGCTTGCCTTTGCTACTTGCATCGGGCTTAACCTCGCCCTTGTTGAAGACATCGAGGAGGAAGATGCAGAGGTCTCCACCCGATCCACCCTGGCCTGCTTGTAGGAGCGATTGTGCACCAGAGTACAGGATTGATGTCGCGTTCTCCCAGTCTTGCGCCTTGGTGTAGCGCGATGCAATTACGCGGAGTTGTTGGTGGGCTTCGTAGAACTGGCCTTCGGCAATTCTAGTGCGGTTAGTGGGCGCTCACATGAATTCTACCGAACGAATGTACTTTTGCTGTTGTCGCTGTATCGTCTTCTCTAATTTGGTGGCCATGGCGAATTCTTGGAGCGGTAGAGTGCAGTGATATGTTGGGCTCGAGTCGTGGTAGAGCTACTTGGACGGCAGGCTACGCAATGACGCACAGACGGGCTTTTGGTGGGGTCGCTCCATCCCATCCACCGCAAGCTCCGAATCTCTCACATTCACCTCTCCAGCCTAGTCTACATCCAACATTACATCAAAGGTCAAGGCATTACAAACTTGCACAGTCATCTACTGTCTTACGCGAAGCCAGTACCGCCCGTGCATTGGCCCGTCCTGTCTGACTTTTCGGTCGTTGCGCTGCCGGTACGCTTGCCCATGTAAGGCTTGCGGTTTCTGCATTGCAAGTTGATTAAGGCTGTCGCAATCGACTTGTGCAATTCGGACTTTTCTACTCGAAGTACTTCCAAGCTATTCCGGATCATCTAGTCCCTGATTTACGAGACGTTTCCCATTGGTGCTGGGTATTATACAGCCCTGACAAAACATGTATAGCACACCACATATGCACCTGCAACTTACATTGCTCAGTGTCGCGCATACAACGCTCACTGTAGCGTGTCAGCTGCACCATACTGTCGGATATGGGACGAAGGCACCGAGTTATTTCACGCATGAAAAGAGCCCGGTGCGGGCCGCACTTGGCATCCAACCTATTTATCAGACCGTAATACCCAACCCAACATTTCAATTGAGTATTCCGACCACCCGCCACTGTTCAGAGTGACCACCTTCCATTTGAGTCAATTCGAGAACCCTCCATCATGTAGCCAAGAACAGCACCGTATGCTATTTTAGCTCTACAAGGGTGCTGATCCTGGCAAGTGCATGATGGAACTGCATTATCAACTGCGTCGATCTGCAATCCAAGGCAACGACCCTTTACTAGACACCTTTGATTGGCTGCAAGCTCGGCGCAACCATAGTGAGCGCATGCCAATGCTGCTAGTCACTTCGCAAAGTCGGTCTTTCACCTGGAGTTTTGGAGCCTGCAGCTATCCTCTAAAATAAGAAGGCATCGGCATGTGCAGCTTTCCCCGAATGCTCTCGACGCCGGCGGACATGCTGCATTGATTTCGAGTTGCCAGGGCTTTGCAGAGCGACTATTATAAGTGCAGCTGTTAGCTTATTATCTTGTAGACCCCACCGAAGCTGTATCTCGGGAGAAGCAAAAGTATCCTAGGTTCAATCATGTCTGAAATCGAGAACCGCTTTGTAAAGAAAGGGTAAGCACTATCATCAAAGTACAGCAACAATGCGTTGATATTCTAGATTTTGGATCAACCAGGAACATGGCAACATCCTAGGTCAAACTCTTACGGTGGAGACGAGAACTGGTACTATCATTGTTGCGCTCCTCACAATAATGGCATCCGTGGGTACAGCTCAGCTCTGGAATATATGCACGTTTCTGTACCATCAGTTTTGCGCGCACGGTAAAGCTACCGACGGCCTTTACTGGCAACATCAGGCACTGCTTCGGACAATGCCAACTCCTACCGCACTAATGGCTGATACGATCAAACTGTCGTGGGCGTGGAGATCGAAGCTTCCCCGAGCGTTCCTTCGCTCATCGTTACCTTTTCTTGTTGCACTGAGCTTTGCCATTGCCTCCATCGCAGCTGGTATCTCAACCGCCTTCGCCATAGACAGTTCCAACATCCAGATTCTGGTTGACAGTCCCGTGTGCGCACGTTTCAACTACACAAAAGTGTACGAGAACAGAACAACTTCCACATTACTAGCGTCTATCAAAGCCACCGTTGATACATACGCATCAAATTGCTACCAAGATAAACCTTCGTTACCGGAGCCGTGTCACAACACGTTTGCTCGTACCAACATAACGTTTCACGCTAGTGCTGCACCTTGTCCTTGGAACAAGGCTATTTGTCGAGGCGGTGAGGTTCCTGCGTTGCTCATGGATTCGGGCATGGTTGATTTGAGAACCCATTTTGGTCTCAATGTACCGCCACAAGAGACAGTCAAGATACAGAAGAAGACAACATGCAGTGTGCTCCCGATCGAGAACCGCATCGTGGAGAGAGATGCTTCTTGGTGGGCGGCACGTGGCTTCAAGGACACCAAGACGACGATCGAGTACGGGACCTATAGGAATACGGATCGAGAACTTCGACCAGAAGCGACGTTCATACAAGCAAACGCTTTGAGTAAATACCAACAGTCTTATGGCTCGTCTTCGATAATGAGCTACTTGCAACCAGACTTGTCTTTCATAGGGGTCGACCCAATACCGGAGATGCAGCGAGATGACGCCGACGTAGCACTCGCAGCTATTTGGCTGAATGATGTGACGTATGAAAAGCCCGTTGAAGACCCGTTATTTTCGGCGCATAAAGAGTACATATATACTCCTGGAGGCGGATACCCAAACGAAACCAAGTTTAAATCTGATTATGCAGCTGGCGTGGTCGGCTGTGCTCAGCAGGTGACGAAGCCACTGATGAAGCAACTGGATATTCATGCTGACATTTCACAGTACCGATTTTGCATCCCTCAGGCTGGAACCAAGGACTTCTGCACACAACTTTCAGGTAGTCCGCTCGATAATTTTACAGAAAGCTTCCCCCATCTCAAACCCGTTCAAAGAAGCCTTTTGCAGGTGCTTCAATCCATCTCGCGACTCGCCAGTATCGAAGATGGCGCGCAGATGCAAAACATCCAAGCTAAGAGCTATCTATTCGATAATTTTTCCCCTGGCCTGCCAAGTGACCAGTGGAAAAAGGAGGTCATTGCATGGGAAGCTCGCGTGTGGACGAGCTATCAAGCACTCATCGCAGCAGCCATCGGTGGACCAGCCGTGTTCGATGAGAATGCGCACGAGTACATTGAGCCTGTCGATAATGAAGGTGATAGGCAGATGTGTAAATCGCTGAAGATGCGCAAGTCCGGATCTTTTGCGTGAGTACATCCACATTGCACGAATCGAGCAAATATGCTAACAGTCTCCAGCAACATCAACGTTTTCGCCCTCACTTTTATCATCGCCTTCTCGGTAACTATTACACTGATTAATACCTTGATCCTCCGCTTCTTCATCTTCATGGCCCGCTTCCGTGCGGCCCTGGCCCCTCGCATCGATCATTGGGTCCAAGACGGCATTTTCCAACTCCAACGCCGCGCCTTCGAAGCCCAAGGCCAGGGTTGCTGGAAGAATCTCGACCAAGAGATTCCCATCACGCTTGATGGCGAGAATCTCCGTGAGCTACCGGTTGAGTCGTCACTAGTGCTGAGACCTGGTGAGGGGAGGCGTTTGGCCAAATGGGCAAAGCTGCGGAAAACGGGCACAAACATCACGGAGACGACGCTGGAAGAGGGAAGCGAGGAAGAAATCACTATTGAGAAGATTGTCAGGAGACCGACTGCGGGTACAGACACAGTGACATTGGTGGGTGTGGAGGTAGTAGAAAAGAATGGGTTGAAGAAGGTGAAGAGTTGCGAGAGTGGGGAGAAGTAGGGATGCATTGGGAGAGGGGATAACGAGATCACGGTAACGACATCAACAAGCAAGAATGAATGACATGAATAAGAGTGCAAACGTGTATGACCACGGTCCCTAGTGCACAGACATTACCCAGTCGCAGCTCAAATGACCACAATGCAAAGTCCAAAAAGAATGCCATGGGTACATCGTCCCTCCCGTACGCACCTCTCATCCCAAGCACAACAAAAACGCAAAAAATATTAAGCACAATATGCGATGTCCGGGAATCGAACTAATGGTCTGTTAGGACATAATCCACACAACTGCCTAAGTATAGTATGGACTTACCCCGAGCCTGAAGCATGGGAAGCTACAATTCTACCACTAAACTAACATCGCGGAGATTACCTTTTTTCCAATTTTCCAATATACATCCCAAGCAACTGGCAGACAGTGCTAGCTAAGCGGGAGGGGAGATGGCGCCCTTTCGTTCAAATCTACGTGGCAGATGACATGTTCATGGAAAGGTGGGGTCGAGGGACGTCAATTTACCCCTCAGTGGAGCTGGAGCGGGAGCTTTGGACGTGGTAGCGCGCTCGGGCGAAGTGGGCATGTGGAGAGAAGCCAACTCTACACCACGCGGGTCAGAAAATAGTGTCGATTGGCGGTACGAGGATGCAAAGAGCGGGAAGTAATGAAGGGTATATATGTGCCGCAATGCGCTCGGGGGTGAGTGTGGTGAAAATCTTTGTCGGATGCTGATTCGTCGATTTGCTTGACGAACGCACTTGGCTGATGGGAGGAAGTTGTGGCGAGCGGATTGGCTTTTTTTATCACTCACGCGGCTGTATAGGTAGATACATGCTTTGCACTTGATTAAATATTGCAGTGGCATCGAGGTTGCTAGGAACATTGTCAAAAAGCGAATTGACTCGAAATGGTCAACATGCAAAGGCACATCTTGAGAAACACGCAACGAGATGAGGAACAGGAACATGTCATACTAATGATTGATAGATATGTCATTCGAATACTCTACATATTCCTACACCAATCTATACCTCGCTTGCTCCGTAAAATCATAAAAAGGGTATAAACCACATGCCGTCCCAATTCCCTCAACTCACGACGCATGCCGATGGTGCACAAGTCCTAACGCCAGAGACTGATTAGCTCACATACTTCCCACAGGTAAATTGACCTCGCTACTACATCACAATGCACCGCTCCCTGTCTTCATGTCCATTCGGTCCCATGGCGCCCGCACTCTGTCGCCGACCTGGTCGTCCTTGTGGCTGCATCGGGCGGCCATGGGGACGATGGGGCATACCGCCATTCTGCGCCTGATAAGCGCTTCCACCTTGCTGTGGTAAAGGAGCTTGAGTGCTTGCAGGATGGCCCTGTGGAGGGTGATACTGCGGCGTCGTCGAGGCCTCCTCGTATGTTGGCGGTGGCGCAGGCTCGCCAGCTGGTCGATGTGTTGTGATGTTATTGCGGCGCGGTGGAATGACAGGTGGGGCCTCAGTATTAGATGTGCGGCGATTGTTGGGTCGAGCCTGAGACTGTGCTTGTATTGCGTTGACAGAGGCTTGATCGTCACGCTCACGTTGGGCTGCCTCGCGGCGTTGACGGTCTTCTTCCTCTTCTTGAAGCTGTAACGCGAGTGCAAGATCGTGATCTTCTTGCTCTGCCCTACTCAGTGGTGACGTAGGCTCATTGCCATGCTGTGGCTCTAGTGTAGGGGCAGACTGCTGGTTTCCACGACGCGAAGGTATCGTAGTCCAGCCCTGACCACTATCAGCGTCGACCAAGCTTTGGCTCTGTTGCTGAGATGGTGCATGGTTGCCAACAGGCCGGAAATCGCCCGAAAATAGCTCACTTCCCTGGCCGTTAACATCAACCAGGCTTTCCCACACAATCTCATCATGGCTCGAATAGCCTTGATCCGTGACGAGAGTCAGAAGTTTATCCGTACGTGGGTCCTTGAAGAGTGTAGAAAAGTGGTCATTCCTGAAGAGAATTGCGACCTGGCCAGACTGGATACTTCCTCCCAGACTCTTCAAACCGTGCTCAGTAAGCTGGGTGGGCCATCGATTGAGGAACTCCTTGATCGAGTGGATATCGGTAAACATCTGCTGCTCATCTGCGGTCAATGATTCGCCTGATTGTAGCTTTGCGTCCAGCTCTTCTTCTTGGAATTGTACGTATTGCGATGTTTCGTATGACCTGGCCACACGCTTGAAGGCGCTCTGAGCTTCAGAATTGCCCTCTGGTAGCCAACCGTGAAGGAGGGGAATGTTGAATGTGCGATAGAGCTTCATATCCGGAGTGTTCTCGAAACCCCCGACATTTGCCGCGTGACTTGTAAGCGTTGCATTGCCGTGAGTTGCATCGTCATCAGGAATGAACATGGGGTTGACGTTCAGGCCTGTATGCAAGGCAAGCAAAAACTTGTAAAGATCACTAACATCTGGCAGTTCTTGTGCCGCTGTTCCTCGTCGACCTGACATCAGCTCATCAAACACTGCATCAAGAAGCAAGCCGAGGCTGACTTGCTCTCGAGTCCGCAGCGTCTCCACCAAGGCTGTCTCAATACCGGATGGGGTCGAGAGCACGAGCGCGTTGACCAGCGCGAGCAGTGGACATGGACCATTCAAGTTTTGCGTCAAGATGGGCGATGTGCGTATGCCAGGCTTGTTGACATCATGCCACCTGATGTGCTTAATCTGGTAGTGTTCTTTGCGCTGCCGATTCATTCTGGTATTAGGCGATTCGGGGCCGGGTGAGGCAGCGGAGCCAGTATTCGTGTCTATCGGCCGTGGTGGCATGGCGGGTGGGTGCTGTTCGTTTCGCGGTGGGAGTGCTGGTCGCTCTTCTTCCTCCGCGGCAAATGGTGGAGGAGGAGGAAAGTCCGAGGGTGGTGCAGGCGGGAGATTCGAGGGTGGTGGTGGGGCGAACGGGTTCGTAGAGGTCTTTTCAAGAGGATGGTCGTGCTCCTTGATAGCAGTTCCGCTGGTTCCCCATGGCTGTTCTTCCGGCCACGTTTGCTGAGGCTCAACGTGTTGGCCATCTTTGGGAACATCCTGTCCTGTAGACACTGGGGCAGCAGCGGCGTTGGTCGATTCACCCCAAGGGTTTGCAGCGATTGACTCTTGTGGAGGGAAGGCTGACTGAGGGCTCGTCAGCGGAGTGGGGGCCTTCACGGCAATGACGGGAGGCTGGTTTAATGACCCCTTCTTGTCCAAGCTGAGGTCCCCCATCTCGTGAGAGGGCGTTGTTGGTGTCTGGAAGGCGGGTAGCTCGACCGGCTCATATTTCGAGGTTTGCGCTTGGGAGTCTCCCCAAATCTGCTGGCTAGTTTCACCACCCCAATTGCTCTGGCCGGTCTGTTGTGACTTGAGGTATGGGTTGTTGGTCTGCAGCGGGATAGAGCCATTTGACTGGTCCGACACATTGCTCATGGCGCCGTACGAGGCAGAGCTAGCGCCTGTGGGCATGGGTGATATGTTCTCCAGCGAGCGCTTGATGGGCATTCCCGCGGGTGGGCCTGCCCTCAATGCATCGGGCAAGGTATTGTGCGTGGCTGGCGCTTTCCCCCCCGCAGGCTTCAGCGCGTCTGGCACATCTTTGGCATGGACTTGCTCGAAATCGTCGTCATCGTCGGACCTATCCCACTCATCGTCACTAAAGTCGGAGTCGCTCTCTTCTTTCAGATTTTGTTTCTTCGCCTCCTCGGATGTCTTGGTGTTGGAGACTGGAGCGGAACCGGTGGGCAGATTGGCGTGCGGCGCATTGTCTGATGTCTTGATGTTGAAAGCTGGGGTGGGGTTGCTGGGTGGATTCGAGTGCGGCGCACTGTCGGGTGTGAAAGGGCCAGCGGGACCTTGTTCGTCGAGAGGTGTTGTTGGATAAGGAGGATTCGCTTTAGAGAGCGGCGCTGGCACGAGGCCAGACTGCTGTTCCGGCCCCTCTTCTTTCCGGAGGACCATGGCGGTGGTTGTTGGCGTACCAAGCTATGATGCAGCAAGGTGCCACGAGCTTGCGGACGGTAGGTAGCGCAGGTATTGTACGTGTCTGGTGTGGGTGCAGTGAATTAGGGACGAAGATGCGAAGAATGCGGAGTGACGGGAGGTAGTGCGACCATGTGGCAACAATAATGGGCGGCGTGTCAGACAGCGTTGGAGCATACGCGGCCGCAGGTAGCCATAGTAGTCTTATGTTGCGAACAGGACGCCGAAGCAGCGATGACGACGCTGGCACAGCCACACGTGTGGCTGGGCGGTCCCCAATACCAGCCTTTTGTGAGTGGATGCGACAGGGAAGGCTGTGGCGCACTGTGAGGAACGGCGCCAGATCCTTGCAGCAAATTCACCTTTCTCCAAGTCAAACTTCGCGAAATAAACACCACCACCGCGCCCGTGACTCAAGTCATTCTCGCCTCTGCTTGGCATCCCACATGGCCCGGTGACAGACTTCGGAAATACGGCAGGAACACAACTTCCCCTCCGGTACAATGCATTCGCATATCCGGCCCAACACGCACGTTGCGCTGCGACTCCCGTCCGGCCTCTTTAAGATCGTCGAAATCACCCCGAACCAGTACGTCGCATGGTAGCTAGAGTGAGCTTTCGCGCGCACACTATGCGACTGCATCTAACAGCATCGCAGAAGCATATACCTTGGGAAATTCGGAACGTTCAACTCAAACCTCCTGCTCGGACGACCATACTATCTCACCTACGAGCTCCTCGACAAGGATGATAGCAAGTCAAAGCCAGAGTTGCGCGTCGTGCCTGCCTCAGAACTTCATGCGGAAGCCCTAGGCAGCGAACATGCGCCCGCCGCCGAGACCAGCGACGAGAATGCCGAGGGAGTCGCTGGATTCGATATTGTTGGCGACGATGGCGAGGTCATTATGCGCAACAATCGCCTCACTGTAGACGATGCATCGCGACAAAAGCTGTCCATGGAGGAGATCGAAGAGCTGAAAAAGGCAGGATCAGGGTCTGGAAAGGACATCATCGCCAAAATCATGGCGTCGCATAATGCTATAGACGAGAAGACGTCATTTTCGCTGGCCAAATACACGCTGCGGAAGTCACGAAAATACCTCAAGCGCTTCACTGCGCTCCCAATGGACGTTGGCGTGCTCACTGAGTACGTGTTGGAGAAAGAGGCATACAAGATTATGGAGCTCAGGGAGGATCTGCTCGGCTTGATCTGCAGCTGGGCGAATATTCACTGTGGTGCGACAAGCAGAGTTCAGACAGCAGAAGACGGCGTCAGCCAGGTGGGAGGAGGCAGGTGGCTGGTGGTGGACGACACAGGAGGTTTGGTAACCGCTGCGCTTGCGGAAAGGATGGGTGTGCTTTATCCTGACGAGGATGAGGATTCATCAG